AGCTAATCAGAATTGTATATTTACTTTTCTTTCCCTACCTCTCGTTTTTCCTATAATTTATTTTTAATAACAAAATAAAATTATATATAACAAGAACAAATGAGAATACAAATGTCCATCAAACAAGATTGGTTAAATACATTATAGAAAAGTATATGATGGAATATACTTTGCTATTTAAAAAAAAGCTGTATTTATGTGTTGTTAAGAAAATGTCATGTTAATTTAAAAAATAAAGTGCGAAAGAGTACATATGATTCGAGTTGTAGAGCTACTACAATAAATACATATTTAGGCTTGTGCATTTAAAACATAATTTTAAAATATGCTTCTCTATCTATATGGTTTTTGGAAAGATTCTTATGAAATTATCTGTCATAGTTCGATAGTGAAACTGAGGATACACTTTCTGTAATGTTTGTTTTTTTCCCATACTAAATGTAAGAAAATTAAGTATAATCATCCCACCAATGTAAAAACTACATTTGGTTATTACTAGTCAAATTAAAGCAACTGTAAAATAGGAATTTTTACCTGTCTCTAAGCATTTTATAAAAATGTATTTTGAGCTATGTCTTAGATAATATTTTAAAATATTATATAAAACTGTCATTAATTTAAACAGGTTATTAAGATATTAAGTTGTATATTAATAATTTTCTTAGCTGGATATAAATAAGAAGCTTTTATTTTACATTTTGTAGTCAAATTTTTAAATGACTTTGAAGACCCCGAATCCCCTCTTCATGCTTACTATCTTATTTGCTCCAATTTTTTTTTTTTTTTTTTTTTTTTTTGAGACAGAGAATCACTGTGTCACCCAGGCTGGAGTGCAGTAGCATGAGCTCAGCTCACTGCAACCTCTGCCTCCCTGGGTTCAAGTGATTCTCCTGCCTCAGCCTGCCATGTAGCGGGGACTACAGGTGTGTGCCACCATATCTGGCTAATTTTTGTATTTTTAATAGAGGCAGTGTTTTGCCATGTTGGCCAGGCTCGTCTCGAACTTCTGACCTCAGGTAATCCACCCACCTTGGCCTCCCAAAGTATTGGGATCACAGGCATGAGCCACTGCACTGGGCCCAAAATTATTCCTTTCTTTATTAAAAAAAAAAAAAATACAAAATGCTAATTTGAAAAATGCAGACCACGTGGGGCTTCTGAAGAAATACCAATAAAAAAGTGGCAATCCCACACCGATTTTATGTTTTCATACATTCTCTTAAACTTGTAATGTATATATCTGATTTGTCCCCATTAGATTACTTTTACTATTTGGCAAGATTCTTTTTAAATTATGAATCTATGTATATAACTTTTCCTTCTGTTTTACTGAATATGGTTTCAGAAGAATTGCAACACATTAAAACAGTACTTAAGAGTATCTGAATTTTGTGACTGACGGCTTCATTTTTAGAGCTTATAGAAAAATCTAAAATTAAATAGGATTTTAAAATTAGTAAGGAATCACAGTTTTTAGAGGTCAAAATGGTTAAGTAATGATGTCTGACCGTATGAAAACTATCTAAATGATCCTCATTGTGTTCAGGAATCTTGTTTTACAAATCACTTAAACTTTTTATTTGTAATTGCAGTACTTGGAAGAGCCTTCACATTTTAACATTATGACTATACACACCCTAAATTCTGCATCTTGGGTACTTTAATTGCTCATGAGGGTCAACCAAGTCCAGTAATCAACAGAGGATATGAAACTCCTTATTTTGCTGAACTGTATTAACCACAGGGTTTCAGAGAGGTAAGTCAAAGGAGATGTAAAACAATTACTTAAAGAATAGTTCTTTGGGGAGTTTGCCTTTGCTTTCATATCACATAAATCATTTTTGTTTCATCAGTGTTCATACTTCCTTATTTTCATTTACAGTTCCAGTAGAAACTACATACATTATGTCAAAACACTATCTTGCATACATTAATGTACTAGTTTCAATAAAATCCATAAATGAAGTTGCCTTTCACACGTACACCGTGTGTACAAATTTCCATTCTATTGGAAAAGTCACAAGACTCTCTTGAGCTCCTTTTATTATCCATGGCCACAGCTTAGAACTCAATACCTTGACCCTTTAAGAGGGTATATGTAGATTTGTGATAAGGAAGGTGGAGAGAGAAGTTATTTCTACAGAATTCAAAATCAGTTTAGAAAATATATCTAATTCACAGTAACCAAAAAATGCATACCATTCCTTTCACCAGTGGTAAGAAATTTAGCCTTGTTGCTCTTTGGAATAAAATGCTTAGGAATTAGTGAAGTAGTTTATATTTATAATGGTTATAAAAGTGAATAGGACAAAACATAGGAGTCTTATTAAATTACTGAAAGAATCTGCAATTTTTACCTTTAAAATATATGTAAAAACCCATGTGTATTCACTGTTAATCATATATAACACTATCTGGATTCTAACTTATTGAAAATGCACTATTGCAGTCACTCCTCTTATTTCATGCTTCGGTTTTGGTATCGGATTGAGAAATATAAACCAAAATCTAGGAAACAAAGGTACTAATTCAGAGTAATCTTAAGTTTTCTCATTAGTTTTCCATAGTCTGCTTACTTCAGAGTATTTCTCACTAAAACTTAATCTGCTATCACTGGAGTGTGTGTGTGTGTGTGTGTGTGTGTGTGTTTAAGATGGAAAAGTTATCTTTTTAAGGTGTTTTTCAGAATAACATGATACCCAAACAGACAAAAACAGACATGTTCTTAACACAATGCACTGTAATGTTACACTTTCTTAAAATGTACTTTTTTTTAAGAGTCAAATTGTAATTACCAGGGATATTTGTAACTTAAAAAACAAACAAACAAACAAAAAAAACCAGTTACTTATCCAAATGCACATATTTTTATCTTACTTTGTTGAAACTTCCTGTCAAACACCAAGAGAATGTGTGTTGAATAACCATGATGTAATTATAAGAATGCAATTTAGGCAGGGCGCGGTGGCTCACGCCTGTAATCCCAGCATTTTGGGAGGCCGAGGTGGGCGGATCACGAGGTCAGGAGATCAAGACCATCCTGGCTAACATGGCGAAACCCCGTCTCTACTAAAAATACAAAAAATTAGCTGGGCGTAGTTCCAGCTACTCCCTAGGCTGAGGCAGGAGAATGACGTGAACCTGGAAGGCGGAGGTGGCAATGAGCCGAGATCGCGCCACTGCACTCCAGCCTGGACGACAGAGTGAGACTCTGTCTCAAAGCAATGTAATTGTGTGCAGAATAATACAATACAAGAAACTCTCTAGAGATTTAAACAGGAAATAGTAAATCCTTGCAGGAAATTATCTCAGGAACAAAACAAAAACACCTTAGCCCAGTTCCTGTTACAGTATAAGAGACTATTTTTAAGTCTGGGCTTGGAAACCTGTTTTTTTCAGGACTTGTATCCATTGTATTTAATTGGCCCCCTGAACTTGCCCTTCCTTCCCAAGTCCACTGCTTCTGTCTTACATTCTTATTATCTTATGAGTAAACTGATCAAAAGCCTAATTGGTTTTTATGCCTCTAGCATTTTTCTTGTCCTTGCCAAATAAATGTCTGCAGTTACAAGATTTCTTATTAAAGTCAGACATCTAACTGTGCTTCCTACAGCATAAACTCAATTCCCTTCTCAACCACATCCCAAGTTACTTTTCCAACTTTGTATTCCAGTGTTCCACAACAGGCTCCATTATTCCATATGTTTACTGTGCACTTCATCATTTCCTTGACCTGGTACCCTCTAATAATGTAACGGCATTTCCTTCTGTTTGGTTTTCTTATTCCGTTTCATTTATCCCTCGGGCAATTGCTATTCTGTTTTTTCTTTTTTCTTTTTTTTTTTTTGGGGGGGACGGAGTCTCACTGTGTTGCCCAGGCTGGAGTGCAGTGGCCGGATCTCAGCTCACTGCAAGCTCCGCCTCCCGGGTTTACGCCATTCTCCTGCCTCAGCCTCCCGAGTAGCTGGGACTACAGGTGCCCGCCACCTCACCTGGCTAGTTTTTTTGTATTTTTTAGTAGAGACAGGGTTTCACTGTGTTAGCCAGGATGGTCTCGATCTCCTGACCTCGTGATCCACCCATCTCGGCCTCCCAAAGTGCTGGGATTACAGGCTATTCTGTTTTTAAAGTCCAGTTCAAATGTTTGATCTACTTTCCAAGTGTCTTTGTGAACCTGAGTGACAAATTATACACCTCTGACAATATATTCCCCTATTAGGCCACTAGTGAATTGTATATGCCTCTGTTTGTACTGTAAAGCCTATGCATTTTTTAAAGTTAGTGGTCAGCTCTTCATTTTTGAAGCTACAGTATCTGACACTCAGTACACTTCCAGTAAAAAAACATAATTTCTCATCTGTGGTTCATCTTCTTTACATACTTATATGTGTGCATGAGTGAATTTGGCCTTTTGGTCATTTGCCACTTTTAAGCAAGCGTTTATATTTTAATGCTTTTTTCTGAACTTGTGTTAATAAAAGGGAAATGTTGGCTTAATTCATTAAAACAGCATCTGTGACTTTGGGGGGAAGCATTAAGGCATTTTATCTCAGCCAGCCTCCTTTCTCACCAGTAGGCCTCTTGGCTACAGATGGGACTTAATTGCTCCTTAAATATATCTAACATTTATGCTTACATAATATTGCCCAATAGCCATTCAGTTCTTCTGTTGTAGTTTCCTTACACAAAACCCATTAATTTTACTATGAATTCTTATTACTTTTTAGCGCTAAAAATAAAAAAAAAAAATAGTAGTTTGTTCATGAGCAGACATAAATAAGTGACAGGTTCAACAATTTGCTTTTTCAAAAAAGAAGATGAATTAAAATCATATCATATGTAAACAAACTTCAAGTTTGTAAATAGAGTAACCATTATGAAATAATGGAAGCATATATCCATTTGGAGATTTTACTGAAGCTTATTCTTGTCTAGGGAAAATGTTTAGTTATATGTGTTCCACTGTGCCAAGGACAAACTGATCCTTTCCAGTCACTTACCCTCTGACAGCATGAATAAGTCTCAATGATGGATAGGCAGTTCGCACTTTCAGTTTATTCTTAAGGATTAATGCATTAACCCACTCCACGTGCTTCTCTCCTCCTTTGACCATGAAAGCAGGAATCCAAAGGACACTGTCATTCAGCATGGAAAGTCTATGCACAAATTTTTCTCTGTCACTCTCATTCCGAAAGCCTCCAAATGCTCTTTGTACAACTGATGGATTCATGGTAATAAAATCTGATTTAGTTCCCACATCTGCAGCAAACTCCACCACAGGAGCTAGATTACACCTGAAGAGGAAAAAATTAATGAGACAAATGAAAAAAAAAGAAATATTCACTGGTAAAATGATGTTCATGAAAAGAAGAATGGGAAATGAGCATTTTTTAAACCATGTGAAAAGAAAACCAACAGATCATCTACTTGGTAAGATTGCATTTTCAATAACTCTCTGCACATGCAGGAATGCTGCTTGCAATAAAAAAGTGCACTCCCAGTACAGGGCTCAAAATGCCACTTGTGTGAATTCAACCTGTTGTCTAAGAATACCCTTTGCTATTATCTTCATAAAACCACACAATTTGAATTTGTAATCAGAGAATTTATGATGGTAAATTCACAAGGGTTCTTTGGCCATTCAGTAGGCAATTTAAACCACATGCTGCTCTACAAGTAAATAAAACACATTGGACTTGACATTCTAATCTGCACCACTTGTAAAACTTAAGTCATTTCAACAACTTTGTAAGTCTAAGGAGATAAAGTTGGCTTTACTTATACTCTGAGGTTAAGGGAAAAGTACAATTCCTTATAGTGTCTTACACAAACATATTTACAATTGTTTTCTATAGGTCTAAATGGGGAAGAAAAATAAGAAGAGTGGAGATATCATATTTAATGTGACTTTCTGGGGTTTTAAGTAATACAGAAAAACTCTTACTATAAGATCAAATATCAGCCTTCCTGTTATTTTAGGACCTCCTCAAAATATCTGTTTTCTCTTTTTGGACGTATGCATCCCTGGGGAATGCATATGTAGGGAAAGAACAGAATATGTTGTATTGTTTTCTCCACTAGAGCCATAAGGTTTTGAAAAGAGCTTGGGCCTGATGTTATTCATATAACCTGATTCCATTCTTATATTAGAAGAAAGCTTTGAAAAGCACCTTGAATATGGCCTTTAACCAATTTCTGTTGCTTCTTTGATCGGTCACATAGACCTTTTTATACTTGATTTTAAAAATAACTTCATTAAAAAAAATTATTTTAACTTGCTTTTAAAAAGGTAGGTTTTAGTTGACAAAAGAAAAGCTAGATTTTGATAAACAAGAGTTTACTGTATTGGGAAAAAGTTGTTTGAATCAATTCAATCAAACCTTTCATGAAAATATGAAACTATTTTTAGTATTTTTATCAGCCTTTCAAGGGACGTGATTTTCTTTTTCTGCATTTTTGAATGTTTGGTCACATTATGAAAGTTCCTTACATTTCTTTTCCTTGTGTACTTTGTCACATTAATCGAATTATTAAACATTTTAATTAAAAAGTCAAGCATGTGTTCTGATATTAAAAATACTGTCTTATATATCATTCCTTATCTTTCTTAATTAACATATCTTATTACTTCCTAGATCTCTGACAATATGTAGCTATAACAACAAATATATTTCATCTCAAATTCTATGTTATTTAGAGTTAGCTACTGAGGGAAAAATATTAACACAATAATATTATTTAGAAAGTATAGGTTAAAGATTATTATCTTTTCAATTTAGGTATCTTTAGTTACATCCACTATATTATATGACAGAGTACATATTCGTTTCTATTCATGATTCATACCACTAATTGTGATTGATATTATTCATTCTCATTATGGTAAGAATATTACAAACAGGACTGACCAGAAAAAGATTTGCTGATGTGAATACTTGTCAAAGTGAACACCTTCTTGTGGAACTCAAGGAAGATCAAGGACTTGATCATTTTAAAGTCCTAAAATGTGCTCTACACAAATATTAAAAGTAATCTAAAATCTTAATGAAGCTAGTTATAACACGAATTTGGAAATTGTGGAGAAATTATATTCTGGACATCATTATTACTGACACTTCTTTAGGTAAAATAGTGAGAATACTTGTAACATTACAATTAACATGTTCCTGTTGGGGAAATGGCTTTGGATATTTTTTCCACTACAACAAACCCTCAGTAATTTCTTTTCAGAGGATTCCGATTGTAGAAAAATCAATATTTATACTTTATTTTCACTATAATAGTAAAACTAGTAAAAACCAACCCAATTAAATAGAATAAAAATGATATATTCTGCTAAATTATCCCTTCAGGAAAAAAATCACTCAATTACTCTATACTTTTTCTTGTCACATATTTGAACTTTCTGATTACTTTATCAAAATTCCTAGGGAAAGCTGGCACATGTGACCTGTCAGTATCTTTGACTTTCCTGTCATAAAGGTTGTGGGCTTCACATAGACTTCAAACCATTCATTTTGCTTTGAGGTAAAAAGTAGTATTAACTTCACTTTTAGATGAGAAACTAAGGCTAAAGTGGTTGAGAAACATGTCCAAGGGCATATAGGTTATAAAGGAAAAGCACCATCTAGTTTGTAATCATTCCAGGACAGGAGTTTTAACTGACACTATTGTACATACGATTTCATTCAGAAATATGATAAATGTCTATAAATTCATCCTTCACACAAACCTTCCTGTAGAAGAAAGAATGTTTTATCATTTAGCCCTAGCTTTATAGCTCAGATTCCTAGGACTCGCGTATATTATTCAAGGCCATTCAGCCAGGACCTTTCCCAAATTTTGAGCAGTTATTAAACAAAAGGTTTTAAACATCTAAAACATAAGCATAATATCTATACCTCAGATCTCTTGATAGACAAGATTTCAAAATGTTACTAGAAAGTATTAAATAACTAATTGATAAGACTTTTGAACTATTAACCATAGGATTAAAAGTTGACTTTCCTGTGGTATACCATAATGTAGTAAACAAAATATAAGAAATAAAGTTGAAATATCACCTTGAACATTTGCATTTCAGTATGCTGAATAGGCACACAAAATACACACATATACACACATACCACATTTTATGCTTTTAACAATGCCAATTGATGAAATTCTTAACTTGATAGAAATACAAACAATACACATCATGAAAATAATGAAATGACTAAACAGAAGAGGAAATTTTTCACAAACCCAGATTCGTTAACATTACTGGCAAGGGTGGGAAGAACAGTGTCATAATTTCTAGAGAAATTCACAGAATGAAAATATAATCAAATTCCTTCTACTAAACAAAGATCTGAACACCAAGAAATATGTTAGACTGTGTCATTCTCACATTTCTGTGGAAACAAAAATGGAAACTTCGGTCAAATTTGCTATAACTGCACAGATATTACAGAATAGCTTAGATTTTGGAGGGGACAGAAAGGAGAACTATGCCAAGGAAAAATATATTGTTTAATTTAAATAAAAATGTTAAATATATACCTCATATTTATCCAAATTTGGCTTAAACTTTGAGAAATAAAAGATACTTAGCTTCATTTCTATTCTTAGCTATCTGATCATCAGTAACCACGTGGGCAATGGAGACCTAAAATGTGGGCAATGGAGTTCACATCAAACAAGTTACTTAACTTCTCTAAGCTTATAGCTCTTTTTTCTTTTTACTTTTTACTTTATTCAAGTATAAGTGACAAATAAAAATATTTCAGAGATTCAAATTTTTCTATAAACCAGGCTAACTGATTTATAGAAAACTGTAACTGGAAAATTAAATGAAACAAAATATTTGAAATTCTTCTCAAAATTCCCTTGCCCTAGATGGATACAACATATTAGATTATGCTAATTCCTTTCACATACTCTTTCCTTTTACAATGTATTATGATCATAAATCTTTGGAAATGCATGCAGGTAAATTAAAGGCATGTCAAATAAGATCTTTCTGAGCAACAGCATAAGGAAGTCCAGACTTTATTTACAACACATTTAGTAAGCCATTTTGGCTGAAATTTACTTTTGATCCCCTGGGAATTGAGACTTGAATGGCTGATGGGGCCAGACTGCAAACATTTTAAATATTAGATGAAACAAATTTGACTCCATAGGCAGCATGGAAACTTTAAAACCCATAGACATGGTCAATTGTACTTAAAAAGAGGAATATGACTCAAGTATTCAGGAGAATAAGTCCTCCCAGCTAAAATTTCATAATAACATAATTCACATAGATGGTAATAAAAATCTTTTATTATTGCTCTAAGAAGAATACTTACATTTTTAAAATATTTATTTCTTTATTTCTGTATTTATTTTGAGATGGCTTCTCCCACTGTCACCCCGGTTGGAGTGCAGTGGCGCAATATTGGCTCAGGGAAACCTCCGCCTCCCGGGTTCAAGTAATTCTCCTGCTTCAGCCACCCAAGTAGCTGGGATTACAGGTGCCCGCCACCACGCCCAGCTATGTTTTTTTATTTTTTATTTTTTGTATTTTTAGTAGAGATGGGGTTTCACTATGTTGATCATGCTGGTCTTAAACTCCTGACCTCAGGTGATCCACCCGCCTCTGCCTCCCAAGTAGCTGGGATTACAGGCATGAGTCACCCCACCTGGCTGAATATCTAACTTGTATTGAACATTTGTGATGTGCCAGGGAGCATTTTCTGTGCTCTGCATGTAATATATGTGATTCTCACAATAAGCCAATGAGATAGTCACTATTGCTGTTTTCCAATGATGAGGAAACTGAGTTGCAAGAAATATGTCCAAGATTACATAGTTTGTAAGTAGTAGAGGCAGATTTTAAGCTCATGCTCTTAAATATTGTGTAACACTGAATCCCTAAGAATGGAAAGGAAGCAAAAAATAAATACAAAGAACTTGGTCACAAGTTCAGTTGTATATGTGAAGGTGATATGGCTATGACTTCCATCACCTTGTTGAACCTTATGTTTGGTCTGAAAGTCTAATCGGCTAAAGTGAAGGTTTCATCTTTCCTCAGTCTTCTGTAAACACTCCTCCCCAAAGGTAGGGTCTTGGGTGGGAGAGGATGATAATTCCAGCATGCAGAAAGTCACTGCCTGGTAGGAATATACAGAAGGTTGTGATCCTCTGAAAAGCCACCAAAGAAAACAGACATAGGAAAGAATGTGAAGGAAAATAAAAGGTTGATTCTGAGATTTCCTACTATGTAAGTGTGGAAAAAAGGTTAGGTAATTAATAGTAGATGTGCACACAC